ACCGCAACAAACCTTCACGTGAAAACACACCCACTGCTGATCCCTCCTCATGGTGGTGAATCTCGACACGAAAAACTGAACTGTGGGTTGTACTAGTGGTGGCAACAATGGCTAGTTGTTGTGGAACTTGCTCAGAAGCGAGGGGTGGTCAGAACGGCACTAGCAGCAGCCGAGTGCGGCTATGCACAACGGCAGAAAAGAAGGAGGAGGGGGAGGAGGAGGAGGACGTAGGAAAGGTAGCAGCGGACACACTCGACGATCACATCGTCGACTCACTTTCGTCGGAGGTCAGCTGCGACACTTAGCGGTAGCAGCAACGGTGGAGTTGGCGGCATCGGAAATGGTTGATGTGAGGATGGCGGATGAATAGTGATGTCTAGGATTAAAGTTTGGGAAGGTGATGGGTTTATACCCGCTGATATAAGATTTTTGCCCATAATACACTTTCAGCCCCTCTATGAAAATTCTTTTCAACTTAAGTACTTAATTTACCATTCAGCCGCCAGCATTCCAAAATCCCTTCAAATTAAGTCTAAGTGGCTAACTCGTTAAGTTGGGAGGACTTAAAGAAGATGATGCTGAAAGAATATTGCCCAAGAGGTGAAGTGCAAAAGCTGGAGCAAGAACTGTGGAATCTCATAATGGCAGGCTCCGACCTTACAACTTACACCAACCGATTATGTGATCTAGCACTCCTTTGTCCCGCAATGGTCACCCCGGAAGACAAAAAGTTGGAGCAATACCTCTGGGATTGTCTCCTGAAATTCAAGATAGCGTGCTAGCCTCAAGACCAACTACCATCGACAGCGCCAAGGAGTTGGCACAACAACTCATCGACCATCGTGCCAACCATGACACTATGACAACCACCCTTAACCAAGCAAGAGGATGGGAACAACAAAAGAAAGTTTTGGGACAAAAATAAGGACCAATCAGCCCAGGACCTCGCTATGAAGCAACAGATCTTTGTTGTTCATGCTGCCACAACCCTCACCACACCAACTCCCATGAAACAATACGCCAGAACCCTTCCGAAATGCAACAAGTGTAACTTCCATCACACTGGGGCTTGCCGGAAAATGCATTGCAAAAACTGCGACAGAGAGGGGCACACTGTTCATTTCTGTAAGGCACCAGCACGACCCATCAACTAGGTCCCTGGCTTTGGAGTAAGCCCAGCCTGTTACAAGTGTGGAGAAACAGGACACTTTAAAAGGGACTGCCCAAGAACAAGAGATGCCAGTGGTGGTGGAAGGGTACTTGCGATCACTGAAGGAGAGACCACCCCGGAACTGCCCACAAATATCAGTACGTGTTTCTAACATCGACGTTTAAATTCTAAATTTCTTTATATGTTAAATCTAGCATCGATTAAAGCATGCATAGTAGTAATGCCAAGGATTAAACTGAGAGCATAAACAATAAGAAATTCCAAGGCCGTCATGTGACATCAGGTGGGTTATTCCTCACCATAATCAATTTCTTGTACTGCAAAAAGTTTCCCCCATCTTTCCTCCGAATCTTGGATCCCCATTCAAAGTGCAAATTTCGGGACGAAATTCCCTCTAACGGGGGGATGATGTGACAACCGTCAAATTCTGGTCAATTCAAAGTCAAATAAAGTCAACAAGTCAAACCTTTCAATCCAACTAACCTTTGTGTACTAAGGCTTATGTTAGGTAAATACTATACCACTCGTTATTCTAATAAGAGATCATAAATCGAAAAGTACGTACATCCAGATCTCCTTAACCTAAAACTGTGGTAAGTAACAAACCAAACCGATAAAACAATGTTTCATACTCATCGGGAGTGTGTAAGATCCTTAAACAAGGCTTAACAGGGTTTACGGACCCTGAATTGTGAAGCCGGACACTCACAAACGTCACACACGAAACTTCTCTCAATCATTTTCACGCTATCTCTCTTTATCGAGAATCTCTCCCAAATCTCTCTAAGTATGTGAAATCTCTCCCAAAACTCTCTTTGTATGATAAATCTCTCCAAGAATGTGAAATCTCTCCCAAATCTCTCTTTGTATGAGAAATCTCTCCAAGAATGTGAAATCTCTCCCAAATCTCTCTTTGTATGAGAAATCTCTCCAAGAATGTGAAATCTCTCCCAAATATCTCCCAAAAGTTCCCGTAACTTTTTGAAGTCATTCGGGTCATTCCGACCCATAACCGGGTCAAAAATGGCTTGAAACGGGGTAAAAACGAGTAAAATATGCTTAAGGACCCGAAACCCCTCTTAGGGCCGAAAGTCCTCTTAGGGACCAAACCCTCCTGAGCCGAACCCGAAGGCTGCTGAACCGAACCCTCCTGAGCCGAACCCGAAGGCTGCTGAACTGAACCCGAAGGGTGCTCTCAGGCCCGAACCTCGCACAAGGCCCGAACCCGAGCCTCGGTCCATTTCGCTCCTGCTCGCCCTTCGGTCTATTTCGCTTCTTGCTGTTTCGCCTCGTCTCGCTTCGGCCTAGCATCAGAAGGGACCGAACCTACGGTCCTCTTATGAGAAGCCTCGTTGGAAGACCATTTCCTTCCGGTTTTCGACTACGAATTCATTTTAGCTTCGTTTTTAATTGTTTTAACGCAGGATTTTCACCCAAAACTTTATTTTAACATATAAGACCCCTTAATTAATGATTAATCACGTTTTTAAGGATAAAACCTTATCCATGAAGAGTGGTGAAGTACAAGAGGTGGAGTGTTGACTTTCCTTTATTCTATGACACAAGCAACCACTCCCATACCCACTCCATGTCACTATTCACCATCAACCCATACCTAGTCATTTCATGGTACTTTTCCCACCATTTTTCATCCACACACTTGGTCAAGGGTAAGAAAACCCTCCTCTCTCCTCACACTTCTCTCATTTTCTCATTCTTTCACCAAGAAGACCAAACTCTTTTCCTTTCAAACTTCCTCCCTCAAATTCGAGATTCAAGGCTGATTATCAAGCTTTCTCACACTCTTGCTCCTCAAATCTTCAAGCATCTCTTGAGTTGAACAGTTCCCTAATCCAACATTCATCCACTGAAATCACTCAAGTTGAGTTCATACCCCTACATTTTCATGTTTTCTCAAGTTTTTATGGGGGGGGGGGGGGGGGAATACAAGTCCAAACACCAAGAATATAATTAAAAATTTCTAACAGCTTTCATCAGAAAAGTTGGACTCCATTCACGGACTTTTTTGGACAACTTAAACATTTTATTTTTCAAAACTGTTTTAGGTGTAAGTAGTTCCAGTTCTTAGCTTTAAAATGACTACTTGCACATCTACACATGATTTTTCTACAATTTATGGTGATTTTTACAAAACAGTCTGTCTCTTCAAACCCAAATCCGGACCAGTCTGTGAATATGATCATTTTAATACAAGTTAAAGGCTTCCAAAAATCATGATAAAAATTATGAGTAAACTAGACTCATTTTAGGAACTCTCGGAGTTTACGGATTTAGTTTTCAACTTCGTATGATTTTTCTGTGACTTTTCTAAAACAACGCAGAAAGGTTAATAACTAGATATCAGCTTACAACTTTCAAAACACTTTGTAACATGTTGAGCAAAGTGTTAAATCTTTGACGACTTCATATATTACAAATATTTCTTGTAGTGGTATAATTATATAATAGAAAACATTCACTAAATTTATAAGAATCCTCCATCATAACCATTAGTACGAAACAAAGCAAGGTAAACATAGCTATATTGTACTATACATTCGACTTACATAAAAAGGGTTTTTATACACCACAAATAAACATACTAAACTATAATAAGTATAGTTAGGTTGCATATACATTTCAAACATTTTGATAAACTATAATAGGTATAGTTTATGATGATTTACATTACAAAAGGTCTTTATACAAAAAGGGGTACATATACAAAGTACTGGATTTTTATACAAAAAGGGGTACAGATACAAAGTACCAGGTTTTTATACGAAAAGAGGTACAGATACAAAGTACCAGGTTTTTATACAAAAAGGGGTACATATACAAAGTACCGGGTTTTTATACAAAAAGGGGTACAAATACAAAGTACCGGGTTTTTATATGAAAAGAGGTATAGATACAAAGTATCGGGTTTTTATACAAAAAGGGGTACAGATACAAAGTACCGGGGTTTTTATACGAAAAGGGGAACAGATACAAAGTACCGGGTTTTTATACAAAAATGGGTACAGATACAAAGTACCGGGTTTTTAATTACAAAAAGGGGTACATATATAAAGTACCAGGTTCACATAAATTAGTTATTATGATATTAAAACTATATTTCATCTAGAATTGTTAGACTTCAACTATAATCGTTGAGCGTATATGCTTGAGTTGTATAAGAATTTAGTCTCGATTGGCTTAGAATTGGTGGGCCCGCCTCATCTCCTGTTCCTCGTTGGGTTGTGGACCTAGGGCAGACCCACTATATCAACATTTTATCTAACTTAAATCTTATATAACTTATATACGCTATATGATTATAGGAGAAATCTACGGGTCATTCTAGGGTTCATTAACACATCATATAGGAATATTCTGTTCACACTTAACTAAGAAAATATTGGATTTTCTGGAAATCAAACTCTATCGATTTTACAAGGAAAACGGTTTCTACTTCAAACAACACTCTTATGAACTCACCAACTTAATTGTTGACACCTTTTCAAAACTACTTGTATTCTCAGGAAATCAGTGAAACTAGAAAACTTTAGCGCTTTGAGGATGAGACGTTAAGTCGTCAACAATTTATTTTATCATCATAATGTAATTGATTTTGAAACATGTAAACATATACTTTGGTGTAACTTTTTCAATTATATTTATGATGGTTGTATTTACTTTGAGCACTATTATACACGTTGTTGTGATACTGTACATGAAGTCCTCCACCCCCAGACGTTTCCACCATCCTTGGTTTGGGGGTGTGACACTTTCCTTCAAGATCATTAATGCTACTTTATCTGAAGGTAATTTGTCTATTACTATAAGGATGCAAATATGGATTGAGAAACCCTATGTCATTGAATTCTTAGATTCTGAAGAGGACGATGAGGATGATGATAAAGAAGACACTGATGAAGATGTTGATGATGAGAATCGTAAGGAGATTATGAAGAAGGAACTAGTAATAAAGAAGAGGTGATGAAGAAGAAAACAATGATAAAGATGAAGAAGAATCGGCCACTGATAACAGAGAAGACTCTGCTTAAGGAATGAACTCTTTTTCATGGATGAACAAGCACATTTGATTTTCATCTACTTTTTCATCCACTCCTTCTGAAAATGTTGCTATTCAACATGGATCAACCTCTTTTTTTGTGAAAAATGTTGAACCAATGATCTAAGATGAGTCAACATCTCCTTCTCCTCAAGCTGAGAATATTCCTCCTATGCCAACTCCTATCAAGTCTAATGCTTTCATCAGGACAATAAGGAAGAATCCAGCTCCAACTTTCAAACTGTTGTGCTTTCTCAACTCCCTTTAATCGTGCAATTAACCCAATCAATGGATAAAAGGTTGACTAAAGTTTGAAAGGAATGTGGCTACAATGAAGCGACTTATGGATTTAGACGATGATGATATGGTTGTTGATGACACTCCACCAAACTCTCCAGGTGATAATCCTCCTCCACCTCCACCTCCATCAACAAATCTTCTTCCACCACCTCCTCCACCATCTCATCCTCCTCCTAGAACTCCTCCATCACCATTTAAATCTCCTCCCAAATCTGATGCTCCCAAAAGGGGGAGAATAATAAAGGGGGTCCTCAACCAATGCAAATGCAGGTGATTATTGTACCAACTCCATCTCAACCTGAGATGACTGGAAGGTTTGAAGCATAAGTTTATCTTCAAAAGAAGATTGTTGTTGATGGTATTCTAGACACTGATGCAACAACTAATGATCAGCCCATTCCAGACACTAGTGATCAATTAGACACCAATGACTATGAAGGGTTTCTTGATCTTGATTTCATGCCACAATCTGCTGTTCCTTTCAATGTTGTCTACCTTGATTCTTACTTTGAGTCGGAGATTTCTCAAGAGGTTCTGCAAGGAACTAATAGCTACATTAAGTCTGACGATGGTCAGCTGAATCCTCGAAATAGAAACGCTTCCTTCTTAGGGGGAGCTCATGACATTGAAGCTAGAAGCTCTTTTACTACTGTTACTGGTGATCCTTCAGCACATCCTCCTAAAAAGAAAAGCAAGCTCATCCTTGATCAAAATGAATTAATAGTAACATGGAGGTTACCTATTGAGGAAGTTAGAGAATATCATGTTAGAGTATAATGTTGTTATTCGATAAAAGAAAGAAGAAAGAAAAGAAGAATGTATGTCTGTTAAACTTGCTCAAGCTCTTGCTTCCGATGATGAGAGTGCTAATCTTCAAAGCACTGAAAATCAGGTCAAGAAAATCTTTAATAATAATATGAAGAAACAACACAAAGTTTTAGACCTAAATGACCAGATTGATAGGAAGAAGTTTAGACACCTTCTTACTCACAGATCAAAGCCTAATCCCATTATCAAAGTAAGATGCACCAAACCAAGAAACAAGTAACTAAAGCTTCATCTGGTCAGGAAGAAAAATGAGTATGGATACACTGAAGTTGAAATGTCCCAAAATATGATCCAAAAATTTTATTTTTAAGTTAAATAAAACTGTATTCCAAAATTTTATCCATACAACTCAAATGAAAATAAGTGTATCAATCATCATTTCAATTAGAGTATTATCCCAAAAGCGTAAATGATGTGGTGTGTGCTCTGAAAGCATCCCAAGCTCTTCCATTTGAAAACCGAAGTACCTGAAACATAACCAAAAAATCGTAAGCACAAATCTTAGTTAGTTCCCCAAGATACCACATACCATACATATATAAAATATAGTGGGTCCTTCCCAATGAGTATAACGGGCCCCACCCTAACTCAGATAACAGGCCGCGCCTAATGAGTATAATGGGCCTAGCCCTAACTCGGGATAACAAGCCTCGCCCAAATGAGTATAACGAGTGCCATCCTAACTTGCATAACAAGCCCCACCCACATACAAATCATATTCACATAGTAGGATAATTATATAATATACAAACACATGCAAAAGTCACAAAGATAATAACATACCATACAATCATTGGGCCCCACCCACTGAATATAACGGGACCCACCCAAACTCGCATAACGGGCCCCACCCACATACAAATCATATACAAATAGCAAGATACTAGCATACATAATAACCATCTAGCCCCGCCCAGTAAGTATACAAGCACATATACATGCAAGAGTCACAAATACATCTAGCATTGGTGCCTTCGACCTGCTAAGCACAGTGAGGAAACTTAGCTCGCATAACCAAATCATATAGAAAATCCTTGGCTGCTGGCTAACACATCCCCAAACTATCAATCACAAGTTAGACATCCATCAATAATCGAATCTGACCTACACTAAGTGTTTAAACAAGGGTAAAACACCTTTTTACCTTCTTTATAACTTGGCCCCATATCTAAGGCCCAATTCAACAATTCAAAGGCCCAAAACATCCTAAGGTCAACCCTGATCAAACTTCTGGTCAAAGTCAAAGTCAACAGTCCATGTTGACCAAACACAACATGTTGACTTGCAAACACGCCGTGTTTTGCCATCATCCAAATAATCCGAAAAACCGCAGCCAACACACCGTGTTGGCTTCAAAACACGTCGTGTTTCCCCGAGATTCAACAACATAATACAGTAAGTTGTTTTCTCTGATTTCAAGAGCTCCAAAGCTCAGATCTAGTCCATAACATGGTCAAGAAGGATAAAGTTTCCAACTTTATCCATTGGGACTACCCAAAAAGGTTCAAACCAAATCCATAAAGTTTAATACTACAAGGGATTAACCAATAAGCACTTAGTACATAAAGACATAGCCCATAAACATAGATCTGACTTTCTTGAGTTGGAAAACCATGTAAAGTTGCCAACTTTACATTTATGCATGTCTAAATGAAGGTCTTAAGCTTAAAAGGGACTTAATAAGTGACTTAATGCATTCACGTAATCGATTATCTCATAAAGCATGCACTTTTACGCTCAAGGAGTCCAATACAAACTCAGATCTGGAATTACAAGCTCTTAAATAACTTCACTCTCTCATAAACCCAAGAAGGGACCAAAAGCACAACAAAGCACAATATAGAGAGATATAAACATTTATAAATCAAGGTTCAAACTTGATACCTTAGAAAGCTTGCACAAATGAAGATGATTATGGATCCAAAACCTTTCCACCAATCAAAACAACTTCAAGATCACCTAGTCCTTCACAAAGACTAAAAATGAGCACCAAGAACTTCTTACTAGCTCAAGAACACCACCAAAAGACTTAAATATTTTAGGGTTTTAGTGGTGACGGAGGATGGTAAGGAGGCCAACCATAAGGACTTAAGGCCTTTATATAGGGTGCAACACCCTAATAATTAGGGTTTTCTCCACCAGCCGCCATCATGTCGTGTTGGCCTTAATGAAAGCCACATTTCTTCAAATCTAGACACGTCATGTTTGTTTGTCCAACATGCCATTTCCGACCCTAAAAGGGGATTTATTACCAACAATTATTCCTCAAGATACCGGGTGTTACATAAGTTGTATTTTCCCGTGAGTTAGTCAAATTTGTCTACATTGGGTAGATGCAAATTCAAGAAATTATTGACAAACATAAGAGTATTCATGTTCAGAAAGAGAAGTTGGCAATTCAACAGATGCTCAGTAAGTCAAGAAGTTGAACCTCATGCCATCATCAGGTCCATCTAGATCTTCCCCCTCAGGAAGAACAGGCGCTCCCAGACAGTCCAAGAATACCAAGTTTCTTCTTACTTATGGTACTAGGTACATCAACAATAAACTGCTAGTGGGTGTTGAACCAATCCAATACATGTTCATTCTAGAACCAGAATATGGGATATTTTATCTTGACAGTCATAATCAAATATGCTTTCAACGCACTAATGATCTTCATTCTGCTCCCACTGAACATTTGTTTCATCTTCGCTTGGAAAGACTTGGTCATTTTGAACTAGAAAGAGCATATCACGTGTCGATATCTCTGGATCTTAGTAGAAGACTATATGAACTTAAAATTGATCAATTTAGATAGATCAAGCCTGAGATCTTGAAAGAAGGTGACAAGTTTTACAATGACTCTTATGATGTCTCTGTTGAAGATTAGTTTTCACATCATTAGATAGGGGGAGATTGTAAGGTCACACCTTATGATCTGATGAGTCAAACACTCTACACATCTGTCAACGTCATCGTCTACAACACCGACAGGGCCAGTGAATCAAGCTTATTAGTGTTAGCGCTTAGTATATTTATTCTATGTAATTGTTTGTATATTAGGTAATGATATAGATAAGTATAGAATAAATAGCAGATCCGATATCTTTGTTATAAATATTGGTTCTTAGTATGAATAAGATATAATCCCTTAAATCATGGGATTCATATGTATATATTAGTATATAATCTACACTAGAGTAAACCCTAATGTAGAGAGTTCGGATCTGTGTGAATCGTCTTTGTGGCAACCCGTCTTCTTGGTGAAGAAAAATCCCTTTCTTGGTGAAAGAACAATTTAGAGAAATATCTATGTTCTATACTTTCGGTTTGTTATTTTCTTAAATTAAGTTTTACTTTCGTCTTTATACTTGAAGTGTATCCAAACGATACAAACCTTCAAAGATGGACCATCATGATACAAGATGCGTCATTTTGGTTCCTTGATTCCCTGATGAGCCACATATGCTATGAAGTCCTCTATGATGCTTATGAGTGTTTAAGGATGCTCAAAAGTTGGTGATGCTCAAGGAATACACCATGTTGTGCCACCATGATGGATGTTGGACCATTAGTGTTCATGATGCGCCTCCTATTCATCATGATGCTCCATCATGTGCCTTGTTGATACTCATATGTTGTATGTCATGGATAAATGTTTTAGAAACCAATACATGACAGATTGTGATTGGTTGACATCATTCATGGACCTATGATCTAATGGGCTTGGCCCATTAGAGTTTTAAGTTTGATTCCTTCGCTATAAACAATGATGTCAGCTTAGTCATTTGAAGTGTCTTGTATTCTAAAGTGATGGTTGAATCTTTAGTGAATTTGTCTTTGTAACATCTGTTTGAGAACTCATAAATAAAGAATAATCCCCTTCTGGTCGTGGTAAGTCATCTTGACCGAAACACATAAATATTGTGTCTTATGTGTTTTTGGTTTTGCATGTTTTTTGCTTTACTTCTTAACATGACCGATTTTTTTAGTCTAGTCTCACAGTCTTTGTGTGCGTGTTTTTCAGTTCGGTTTAATAATTTTTTTGTTTGGTTTATGTATTTTTTTTTTCATTTTTGGTTTCGGTTTCGAGTCTTTCCATTAACAAATACTACCTCTGTCCTAAATTGATAGTCCACTTTTGATTTTTGAAATCTTTTTTCTTCAACTTTGACCTTAAATATTTTTGCTTTTGATAGATAATTCTTGATACAAAATATATGAATGAATTTTATTTTAAATATTTTTTCATTGTTATAAGTTTTATTAACTAATATATTACACAAATAAAAATATTTAAAGTCAAAGTTGAAGAAAAAAAACTTTAAAAATCAAAAGTAAACTATCAATTTGGGACGGATGGAGTATGTGATTAACTCCAAAATAATATATTAAGATTCAATAAAAAAATATTAAAATCTAATAAAAACAAACCGAAAAAATTGGTTAACTGATTAGAAAAATATACAACGAACACAAAAATCACACTTATATAAACTTTTATTTTAGGTCTTTTTTACCGATCCGGTCTTTTTTTATTTATTTATTTATTTATTTATTTATATAGATCTTTTTATTGATGCCTAATTATATTCAGAAGCACCCGTACTACGGATGACTCTACTCAAGATTTGTGAAGGGTTTATACTTTACAGTTGAAGTTAAGAAATTGAGATTACGTGGCTAATTCGTAGCAAGCGTACTATCGACTGAAATCTATGTCTGCTACCATGCCACATGTGTATATACAGTTGAAGCTGTGGTCCCCACACACGTTATATATATTCACTTTCCGTCTTCCCAAGCAAAGCATCAAAATATACTCTCTTTCTCCCTCTAAACCCTTTCGAAATTTCTCTCTCTCTCTCACACACAACGCAGACACTAATTGTCTAATTCAAAAGTTGAATAAACAATGACTCGTCCGTACAGATTCCTGAAGACCGCCGACAAGCCGATGACGGTTGCGGATCCACCTGAGGCAGTAGCCGTCGAGTCAGATTTCGTTGTCATCCTCGCCGCTCTCCTCTGTGCTTTGATCTGTGTTGCAGGTCTCATCGCAGTAGCTCGTTGTGCATGGCTCCGTCGCGGATCCGTCGATACCGGCAACCGGAGTCCCCTCCAGCGCGCTGCAAATAGAGGATTAAAGAAGAAGACGATTCAAACGTTTCCAAAGTTTACATATGATTCGGACAAGGAAGATAAAGGCTGCGGAGGATGTGGAAAGTTGTCTTCGAGTGACTGTGCGATCTGTCTGGCGGAGTACGTCGACGGCGATGAGATCCGTGTGCTGCCGCACTGCGGACACGGATTTCACGCTGTATGCATTGACACGTGGCTGAATTCTCACTCCTCGTGTCCGTCGTGTAGGCAGAATCTTGTTACCACGAGGTGCAAAACATGCGGTGAATTGCCATCGGTTTCCACCGGAAAAACTCCATTGGAGGCGGAAGATAAAGGTGGAAAGCATGGTCATAGCTCTAGTAGTTCAAGTGAAGATTTAGCATGACAGTTTCAAATTTGGAATGAAAAAAAAAAAAAAAAACGGAGAAATATATCATCCGCCGCTGATGCTTAATTCATCGATAAATTAACCTACTTGATGATTGTGACGCGGAAATCAGGGTGATCGACGATGTATGTACGGGTTGTTTGATCTTTGAAACTTTGTAACTTGTTCTGTAGCTAAAGATAGTTGCAGGGTGGGGACTCCACTTTTTCTCTAGGGCTTTGTGAGATTAGAATCCAGAACCAGAAGTAGCACATTGTTTTTCGGTTTTTCCTTCTTTTTCTTATCTTATCATCTTTTTTCGTCTTTTTGTTTGGCATTGTAAAAAAAAGGTTAAGTTAGATCTTGTCAAGTTACATCACTTTCATGTTTCAACTTTACTCGATTTTTCTTTTGGTGAAATAAAGTGAAATATATATTAATCAAGTGAGCATATATTTCCAGACTTGTTGTAACCTAATGAGGATTACGATTGATGCCAACTATTGTTTGATTATACATTTCTCTTTCATAACTCTGATGATAAGGTTTATGATGATGAAAACATACTTTTTGTCACAACTTTAGTCTTTAAGTTTAGTCATATAAATAATTGTCATGGTGATGCACTAATGCTCATGTGAGGAAACTTCCTAATTATCCTTAAAATGTGAGGTTGAACAAATTCTATGAATATTTTTATGATAAAATTAAGAAGTGTATTTGTGTCTTTTTTAGAGACGACATGTTGAAAAGACGTATGTGTCCCAGTGTTTTCCAGCTTATTGGGTGCAATCTTGACGTAAAAATACATTAAGATGCAACGAAGTGATTTTAAGTGGTTACTTTTGGTGATTTAAATTTATTTAGCATTATCTAAACGAAACATGTGAGATCGATCTAGAAACAAACAAGTTTTTTGAATGAGCTATCTAAGGTTGAAAGATGTTTCTTCTAGGTAGGGGTCTTAATCGGGAAAACAATGTAAGGGAAGTTAGGTTTAAGGTGTAGGCCAACATATAAACATCTTTTGAATGGAGATAAAACAATGCCAACATCTGGAATTATAACATGATATTGTCGGGTCGCTATAATATAACCATAAATGCTTGTTACATAAAATTTTAATTTAGGTAATGCCTATCGCAAGATATGCTTATTAGTATTTTTCTTTGCTATGTTATTTTACCTTTCTATCAAAAAAAAAAAAAAAAAAAAAAAAAAAAAAAAAAAAAAAAAAACGGGATTAATTGCAACTTTACCATTATCTAAATAATGAGCATTTAGATATGTGTAGTAGGAATTATTCTCATAAGAGTAAACATAGCATGTAAAATTTGACTAGAAAATGAGGTTTTGCATTCAAGATTCCATACGCATACACACACTCGATTCATTCACAAAACTTTTGATACATTAATTAAAACAAATAAAATGCCATCACATGTAAGATATGCCGATCATAGAAATGTCATACTTGAAAAACAACATATAATCCATGTTTTTGTATGCATCTAGTTTAAACAAATTATCATCAACACACTTGAGCTCTACAAGCCACCATAAAGATGATGCATGAGTTACCGAACTCTTAGACATGTCAATAAATGAAAACAAATAAGCCGACTATATCAATCAATTGTCAAAGTCCAATCGCTAGACATGTCAATAAATGAACATCAATAGGCCAACTAAGATTATTCTCCAACCCAACTTGATTACCTCTCTAAACCTAATTTTTATATCCATTATAGCTAGTCGTAGCTATGGTGTGGTTGTATGTCAAAATCGAACCGTCAATCACATGCATTGGTTTTTGTAATCTTAAAACACGATGTCGCCTTTTCAAATGATGCGGTTTTACGGTTTTTCCCAATGGTGCGGTTTCAGTTTTAAACAAAACAATAAAATGAAATTTCATATTTTTCTACTTTAATGTGTTTTTAAAACCGAGAAAAAGTATATTCAAAGTTCTTGCAAAACTAGAGAACGAGACATAAACAAAAGTTAATGAACATTATCTTGATTATAACAGTGGAAGCAAACAATGATTCGAAGAAAAAAATAATTAAATCAAAACAGATAAAATGGCCAACCATTATAGCTTTTTTAATACGGTTGGATAAAGACAAAATATATCTTATATTCTTTACATCATTCTTATGAATTTCATATCATCGTGGTAAAGATTGTTTATATAAGTTAATTAACATTTCTTAGTAACTAAATTGATTTCTTAAGGGGGCATTTCGTTCGCAAAATGTTGTTAGAAGAAATGGAATCTATCAAAAGAATTGGAATATAAAAAAACTGGAATTTGAAAGGAATTG